GGTATTGTGGGTATTGATATTATTAAACATTTTAACATTAACATAGCATTACATAAATGGTCAAAGGCTCCAAAAATCTATCAGGGCATTGTAAATTAGAGAAACATGGACATTTTTATGGGCTCATTTTATCAATATTTATCTCCACAGAAATTGTGTCTTTCTGTGAGGGGGGGGCAGGGATTTATATTGTTGATAAATCAGCATGTTACAACACGTTTCAAGCAGGCATTTCAGATGAAACAAAATGGGATGTTTGCTTGTAAGCAGATGCATATATTTCTGGTATGTTTTCAAAGTCTTGCTTCACTAACAGCACTGTCTAAAATACTGTCCATCATTTACAGAACAATGACATTATACAATGACCAGAAGTCCTTTACTCCCATAACACACCCATCCAGAGACCTTCGTAACTCCAGGGGGCATAAAAGAACCAGCTGCTGGTTGAGAACTATCTGTACTTATCTAGCAACACAGTACAGGTAGTCCTCAACTTGTGATCACAATTGAGCCCAAAATTTCCATCACTGAACTATGTGATGGAATTGTTAATTGAGTTTTGCATTCATTTTATGACCTTTTGCCATGGTGGTTAAACAAATCATTGCAGTTGTTAAGTGAATTGTGGCTGTTAAATGAATCTGACTACCCCATTGACTTGGGAAGGTTATGAATGGTGATCACATGCCCTTGGGATAGTGCGATTCATAAATGCATGCCAAGTGCCTGAACTTTGATCATGTGGCCATAGGGATAATGCAGTGGTCATAAGTGTGAAAAATGGTAATTCACTTTTTACAATGCCATTGTAACTTTGAACAATCACTAAACAAATGGTTGTAAGTCGAAGGCTACCTATAACTTTAAGTTAATGCTCATCTATGGGTTATCCTTCATCTGCAGGAACACATGTAATCATTCATGTGTGTCAGTGAAAGCCACAGTATCCCTGATATTCAAAGCAACCTGATATAACATTTCCAGAAATGAATTCCTTGCCACCATATTCAAGCAACTTGTAGTTTGGGCATTATGGTAATGTGTTTTCTGTGAGGCGCTTGCTGAGGGGAGATTGCAGCTTGCAGCTTAATACAGAACACAAGGCTTCTCATAAAACCTTGTTAAAGGCTATTAAGACATCTCCCAGGTGGTGGTGATTGATAAGTTTATGAGTTGCAAGTTGTTTGAGGAACTGCTTATTTTCCTGCATATTTACGTGTTCATGATATATTCTGCTGAGGGTGCTCTATTCAATATATTATCTGATGCTATCTGGCTATGAAGCCCAGCCCACAGTCTCTTGTGAAAGCAAATGAACAACCTTCTGATGGAAATTAAGCCAGCTTTCACTGTGGAAGCTTTTCATAAAAAATAGAACTTACTTGTTTGCTCTTGTCTTCTCTTGGTTTTGTTTGACATTGACATTTTTAAATCAGTGGTCTTGATTACATAGTCTGTGAATGCTACCCTAATGACTTTACCATTTCTACAATCATTATACTTAAAAACACAAAGAGTATACATAAGAAAATGCTGCAGGTTACTGTAAAATAAACTTAGTTAAGAAACTAAAGAAACATAGCAATTACCATAAGTTTGCAGATTACATAAATCAAAATGACATAAAAGCTTTGCTAGGGTTAGCACCACCAGGAATTTGCCTTGCTGGAATTTAACCAAATATTTTTCAACTTTCTTAGTATACTGAATGTAATGGGAGTTAATGACTACACTTGTATTCCGGTGCATTCTTAGAAATCTACTTATTTGCATTTAATATTCAGGGGAAAATGTTTTCTCAACCTTGGCTAGATCTACAATATAGAAAATTTGGAGACCATCCACCTTTATTCTTTTAAAGCATTTATACTCTTCCAGCTATACGAAGGAGCTTAAAAAGGCAAGCATAAACATATACATATGTCCTACCAGCTTCAAAATGCAGGCACATATTTTTAGGGGTGACCAGGATGGACTGGAGATGGGACTTCTTGTTCCAGTAGTTAGTAGCAAATTCTACTACAGTTGCTGGACCTGTGGAACCAATATGGTATGTCGGCATTGTGTCAGAGCAGGCAGTGGGATCTGCAAGCTACTATGGTCTATTGTTATTTCCAAAATTAAAGCCCAGAAACTACTCATGAAGCTTAGTGAAATTTTCATAGTGGTTGGTGATTAAAAAATACTCCATAGGGAATTATTTGAAAAAAGGAAAGACTTCAAAATTGGTGATTCTTCCTCTCTCTTACACCAAAGGATTGCTTTGTCAGTAGTTCAGTACGTAGTTCTCATTTTCCTAGAAAAATACATATTTCACTTAGGAGATAATTGAGCATCTCTCATTTGAGAGCTAATTGTAAAGCAGTGTTAGTCAATTTTGGCAACTTCTGAATGTGTGGGCTTCATCTTATAGACTTCCCAGCAGTGCCAATGAGTTTATGGTGTGCACTTTTCTAGTTGGAAAGATGGCAGTAGTTGATTTGTGTATTATTTTAGAAAGGTGGCTTTGTATAAAGGAAATAATATAAACATTGAGGAGTTTTCCTATGTTTACACCATATTTATCACAGTAAACTCACTTAATAGATGAAATCACCAATATAAATATTGCCAGGGCAAATTACATTGCTAGTTCTTGTCTGGAATTAGAAGCAGGCAATAGTAAAAAGTTACGGTTAAGTGAAAGATAATTGGCTCAATGTATTTAGAAGTATATTTCAGATTAAGCTTTTTGTTTGTTAAATAATTTGATGGTTGGCCTGAGAATGTTGTGGTTACAACTTTTCTGCTAGTTTAATCTTACTAGTAGTTAGAATGGGAATCCTTCAGTTTTGTCTAGATGACTAGTGGACATCTAGAATAATGCAAGGGGAACTCAGCTTTTATTTTAGCTGACTGTTACCCTTTCCATAACTGTTTTTCCCTTTCTATTTCCTTTCAGGAGGCTTTAATTGGTTGAATGCAGTGGGAGGATCACACCGGGAGGAGGGGACAGAGGTCCTATTCATGGTTAGTGACCCTTTCATGCTTTCAATCTTTAGAGCTTCCTGGTTTTGGTGAGTTTTGAATGATTTGTCTGCCCCTTTTTAGAAAGGGAAGAGATTTATGGTGTTATAGATCTGTGGTTTAATTCTATAAGTTGTATATCCTGTTTGAAAAATCAAGTTATGGCAACACATTAATCCAATTCAGCATAAGTGTCATACTACAAGTAGAGGTTTTAGAAAGCCGGGATAGCTTACCTTTCTTCTTCCACTTAAGGTTCTACAATGTTGAGAAATAGCTGATGAACTGATGAAAGGATTATGATTTTTTTCGCTGATTTATACATTTTCACCCTTGCTTAGTTGTGGCCACTTGGCTCTTAGATGGGCTGTCTTCTGAATATATTTTAGATTGTGAGAATCGAGGTGGCAATTCTCATGAAGGAAGTAATTTGCCTTAAAGTACCAATACATATTGGTTCAGAAGTAGTGAAAAATGAAGGCTTCATAAGATACTAATGTGTGAGAGAGAGTTTAAAATGTAAGGTTGAAGAAAATACCTGAAATACTTTGGCACATGCACAATACTTTCTTGAACATCTGCATAGTGCTCATGTCCTTTGCATCCATGAGAACATGCCCTCTTTTTTGAAAGTGGTTCCAATGTAGGTTTTGATCATATTTCAGTGCAAATTAGATACTATATAGCCATTATCTTTTGGCAGAAGGCAGCATCCTGGTCCATCTTATTTGAGTTTGGAAGCTAGGCAAAACTTACTTATTATTGGAATAGAAGATTACTAACAAATTTCTGTATGATATGATGAGTAAATGGGAAAAAAAAACCTCAGAAGAAGGCACTGACAAACTTGCATTTTTGCTAAGAAGACTACATGATGTGTCTGTGAAGCCAGCAGTAGCTGAGCTCAGATTGAAGGAGTTCTTACACATAGCATTATTTGTTTTTGTTTTTAAAAATCTAATAGAGTTATTAGCAACCAATTGGAGAACAAGGTGCTGGAATTTAATATCGGGTTAAAACCCAATAATATCAAGAACATTTATTTAAATCCATGCTTTCATTTTTTCCCCCTAAATTATTTTCTTGAATATAGTCACTTAATTGAAAAAAGTGCCTTTCACTTTTATTACACCTGACTATTTAGAAATGTAAGAACTTGGAGTTTCACTTTTTATCTTTTTAAAATATTTCTGTCGTCTAAACCTGCAGGAAGTAGTGATGTTAGTAAGTGCTGGCTATATTTTTTTCCAATTTTCTTTTCAGTATTTTTGGATGGAATTGGAGTACTTGAATGTTTTTTGCACCTTGCGTTTAAAAACTGACACAATAGCATGAGGTTGTTTTGAGATCTGCAAACATGAGTTTGAGGCCCTTAGATACTCCATCTCTGTTTAAGAGGTTAAGCTGTCACAATGACTAGGGTAACATATCTTTGGAAGAAGCAGGTCTTTCACCTAACATAAAAAACCATAATAAAATTGAATTTACCAAGCCAATAAGAGATACTTGGGGGAAACATGTAGCATTACTTTCAACTTAATTCTTCATAGCTAACTAAGTAACCAGAATGTTGCCATATGCTGGACAGTTAGACATATCTCTCAGTAAGGAATCATTAACATGTTAGGAGCTCTCTGGAAAGTTCAAATATGCTTTGTTTTCATATTTAGGATATATGTCTGCTATGCTGTGATATTATTAGTTGCAGTTTGACCCATATCTATACCAGGCAGAGAATGAAACTGAACCTTATGAATCACTGCTTGAAGTAAAAAAAAATGCGGTTACCTCAAACCAAGTGCAATAGATAATATTTGCAGCAAAGATAAAATGCAACTTTTGTGAACAAGCCCAAGAGTATTAGAAATTTCCATACAAAAATAATTAAAACAAATAGTAAGTTGTTTATCATTTGCCAAGACAAGAAAATCCTGAGCATATGTGTATATAGTAGTGCAAGTATATTAGGACTCTGAATTGTTTGGCAGTGACTCAAAACAATACATGTCAGACTGTGCTTGAGTAAGAACATTAAGATTTCTGCTGTTCATTAAAGCAAGCTTCAAAATGGGTATTGCATCTTTAGGAATTGCATTAGCTTTGGAAATTAATGTTGTTTGATGGAGTGTGCTTATTTCTTTAAACAATGAAACTGTGGTGTGGGGACTATGTATTGAGTAACAGGTAATGCGAGCAGAAAGCATTTATTCTGAGTCACAGAGTATACATGGCTTTAAAGTATATTTACTGGGTAAAAAAACAAGCAATAAAGCAGTTTTGAGTGTTTAGAAAAGGAATCTCACTTGCATTTTCCTTGTTAAATTTTTTAGTTTGTCTTGAAACCTTGGTACATGTACAGTAACAGTTCTGTCTTGACTTGAGATTCAGAGCAGGGAGATATCCATGAAGTTATAGGACAAAGGCTAACTTTCCTCATGTCACTCAATTGGCAAGGGCTTTTCTGTCTTGAGAATGGAAGAACGAGACAACACTGTTGAGGGAAGCAAGAGGTCGAACACTTTTCTTATTCACCCTTGATAAAGGGGATTTATTGACCATTAACAGCTTTGACCATTCTGATATAACTGAATATTTTTGCTAAATAAAATTCTTAAAATTCAACATTCATTAAAAGCCTTTCGTATGTTTTGTTGTGTGCTAAAATGTTTGTATTGTTTTTCAATCTGTGCAGGCAGTACTTAAAGCAGGAAAGCCTGGATAAAAAGCGCAAGGAATTTGATACCAATGGCTGGATGCTCCTGTGTAAAAGAAGCCAGGTATGTATAGCTGATTGTATAAGACTGTGAGTTGTTTATATTATTAATCATAGCTTGTATGTATTTCCCTGGTTTAAAAAGTCAGAGGTGGAAAACAGTTCCCTTTCACTCCTGACTGTAGCAGATATTTAATAATACCTGCATCTGAAGAAAATAATAAAAATAATATTAACAGACAAAACTCCACAAGTCTGATTGGAAATACAGTTTGTTACAGATTATAGTAAAAGAATCTTGAAGAGTTTTCTCTCTCCCCCTTTTAATACTCTAATAAATTAAGGAGTTAATCTGAGTTTCTTTCTCCTGCCTTTTCGGTTTCTTAGCCTTGAAGCATGCTTTGGTTTATGTTATTGCCTCTGCTTAGTTTCCCCAAGATGAGCTAGGAAATCTGACTGATCATGTCCCCAGTGTGGCAGCCATTTTATGAGAGCATCATTTCGTATTCAAATTCCAAATTTGGAGCCAATTTGAAGGCTTCTGATCAACTGGAATCTGAATGCTTGTAGTAACTCTTTTTCAATACTTACCGCTGCAATATACAGCTATTACAAAAACTCTTAATGTTCTATGTTCTCTGCTATTAAAGAAAAAAATTGTATTTAATATTTCAATTTGCTTTCCAGCTGCACTTTACTTTTCATGGGGCTTCTTTTTTTTCCATTTCGGGCCCTTGTTGCTCTCCCCTGTAACTGAAAAGGCCAGGCAAAGTAGCAAGAAATCGAACAAAGAAGGGACATTGGAATGAAGAATATATAACGAATGGGAGTAGGACACAGCCATAGATATCTTTAGTAGCTTCTGCAGCCAACTGTAATTATTTGAACTGGAGCTCGGTTGTGATTGGAGCTAATTGTGGAACCTGTTGTTAAAGAACTAAGGTGGCGCAATGGCTAAAGTGCAGTATTGTAGGCTAACTCTGCTCACAGCCAGGAGTTTGATCCTGACTGGCTCGAGATTGACTCAGCCTTCCATCCTTCCGAGGGGGGTAAAATGAGGAGCCATATTGTTGGGGGCAATATGCTGACTCTGTAAACTGCTGAGAGAGGGCTGTAAAGCACTGTAAAGGGAGGGCTGTAAAGCACTATATAAATCTGCTATTGTTATTGCTATCTATTTTGCCATATTTACCAAGTTGAACCTTTGCTTTTGGTGCCCTTGTCTCTGTCTGAATTGAAATAGTCCTTTAATAGTAGTACTTTAAATTATATTGTGCTCTTCCATTGAGAGCTTGAAACTTCACCTGTTGTGTGCATTTTATAACGTAGTATTGGATAAAGCCAGTATGATGTTCTCATCAAGAAAATAAAGGGAGATGGGTTTTTTGTCTTTTAAAGGAGATCCCACAACAAATGAATGGCAGTGATTGTGGGATGTTTGCCTGTAAATACGCTGACTGCATTACCAAAGACAAACCAATCAACTTTACTCAGGTAAGTTGGTCCTGTATGGGCACCTCTTTGTCTTTATGAGGAGCATTGCTTGTGGGAATTTGAGGCTATAGTTTGTAAATTCACATCCAAAAACAATGACTTTTTAAAAAAAAATGAAATAGTGCTGGCTAAATTAATCTTGCTTTTGTGTTTAAGCAAGGGAGGAGGGGTAGAAATATGTCAGTACGCATTAAAAATGAATGCTCTGGTTATGTTACAAATATATTGATATTGCTGATTTCTTTTTGTTAAAGCAACTCATGCCTTACTTCCGGAAACGAATGGTCTGGGAGATCCTCCATCGTAAGCTGCTGTGATTTCATGCCGAGTAAGACTCTTCAGAGACTGAAAACCCCGGGTTTCCTCTTCTTGGCCACCTCCAAGTGGGCTACATGGGTTTCCACTGACAAGACTCTACATTACACTTTTGGTGTCTTTAAAAAAGAAAATACATCTATTTCTTGGACCAGTGTGCCCCCATGAAGCCTTTCTGAAGCACACACTTTCTTTTGTATTTTGAAACCCTATTTTTTACAAGGGACATTTGAAACTTGTAGGAATGCGGCTTTTTATCTTCAAGGAGATTTCTGCCTCTCTTTTTTTTAAAAAAATGGCCAGCTTGTGCAAAGGACTTGAGACCGTTCAGCTGTAAGGCCTTGGTGCAGGGAAGCACTTGCAATCTTTTCTTGGATCTATCAGGATTTAGAGAAGACTTGATGTCATAGTACTAAGTAATTGTGGATTCTCCGCATTACTGTTACTGCAGCTAATTATTTGATGTAAAACATGCAGGGATATGTGTCTTGGGGAATCTATTTGGCCCAGGTTTTCCAGACGTGTGCATGTTTATGTGTTTCCTGCTTCTTATATTCTGCTGTTAATAACATGGGTGATTCCTACAGCATTTGTAGCAACTTAGATTCCCTTTTATTCTTCAACTATTAAAGAGAAATGGAATTCTTTGGGAATGAAAGGTGAATAGACACACCAGCACATGAAAAGTAACCACTTGCTCTGTTTTCCACCGTGGCGGGTAATCTTTTTGATTCTACAGTAGGGCCGCCCAGGGGAAAATTAACAATCCTTTATTTTAACATTGTTTATCTTGTCACAATAAATGAGTCATCTCCTGATTATTGAAAGTTTATGAGGATTATGAGCTATCCTCTGGTATTCAGAACAAGCCATTTATCCTAAAGACAGGCAAGGATTTGTGGGCAGAGGCATTCTGCACCAAAAGTCCTTATTCTTCACTGCCCCTTCCCCAAGCCTGCTGTGGTGGGTTTTGACCTGAGAAAGAAAAACCAGACACCTTTGTGGCCTGCATCACTGCATTCAGATGACTGGGATTATCCTCCCTTGAAAGCCAGCATTTTCTTTTCTTAACCACATTCTTGCAATGCAATCTGGAGCTCAGTTTTACAAAGAACTTTTTGAAGAGTTGGTGCATTACATTCTCAATGAAAATAGGATTTATAACAAACTAAGCAGCTGTAATGTCAGTGGATGTTCATTTGCCAGAGGATTAAATAGATGTTTGTCTTTCAACTCTTTGTAGAATTAAGGTACAATATAACTTGTTTTAAAACTTTAATTATTGGTAAACAGTTTTTATACTATATATATGCCTTTCCCAGTGACTGCCAATGAACAAATATATATATATGAGGTTTGCAGGTTTTTTTCTCTGTTTTTAAAAAGCAGAATTGAAAAGTTGCTTTTTTGTTCATGTGCTCCTCCCTCCTGTTTTGTTAACAGCAATTAATGATGAGTTGAAGAATGCCCTAAAGAGAGTCTCCCCCCCCCCAATCCTAATTTTGCTTTGGTTTGCAACTTCTATCAGCCCCCTCTAATCCAGTTAATGGAAGTTGAGACAAATATGTTGTACATGGGCACTAGATAGGGCAAAACTGATACTGAATCTGTCCAGCTTTTATATGAAACCAGTAAGAGATCCTGCTAGCATAGGCTTTATCTCTCAAGAGGCAGATTTTTCACAGGGCCCATGACACCCTGTTTATCATTGACAGAATCAATTGTCTTTTGTCCAATGAGGGAATACTGCCTTTTCAGTCCATACTGAAGATTCTTCAATCCACCACCAACAATTTCTGTACAGCCAATCTTGCATTTGTTTCAGTGGAATCCATATTTAAATGGAAGTTTTATATAGCAGCTGGATTGGTCTCTGTTTCTACCATCAGCCAACAGAAGTAGAATGCAGAAAGGATTCAGGCCCAAGAGCTTGGATTTAAGTTTGCATGTCACACATACCTCTTGATGTATCTTTAAAAAAAAATCTAAAGTAAATGTCCTCTTGTGTTTCTGCCATCAAACAGGGAACATTTTATATATTCTATATGTGGAAACGATAGTTTTGTACAAATTTTCCATTACCCTTCCCAATTTGTGCGCTTCCTAGACAAGTTTGTACCTTTTTTTGATGTCTCTTTGTGTTTTTTATACCAGTCTCCGGTGCCCCTTTTTGTTTTTTCTGCATAATCTAATTTTATTTTATAATGTGTTATTCTTAAATAAACTCAGCCATTTAAAAATGTAAAGAATCAAAGTCTGTTCTTCTGTTACCTGCAATGCAAATTAGTTGTATTCTTATTTCATAGGATATAGTATATTTCATCGAATATAGTTGTAGCCCTGCCATATATGCTTCACTAATTGGAAAGGAGTATCTTTTTGCAGAATTATACTAAGCTTTTATTCCACAGTATAAATAGAATTAAACTTACCCACAATAAAGCTTACAGCTACCTGTTAACATATTAATTAGGTATTCAGCTTTTACAAATATGTTTTTCTCCCTAAAAGATGCTAGCATGTATTTACAATGGTTGCGTTGTCCCAAGTTCATGTAATTACCATTTGCAATCTTCCCAGCTGGCTTTTGACAAAGTCAGAGAGAGGAAAGTCAGATCTACTAAATCAGGGATCGCCAACCTTTTGGACCTCAGGGACCACCCAACTCATAATTTTAAATCCTGCGGACCAGAGACCCTGGGAAAATCCCCCAAAAAAGTGTGCAGAAAAATTCCCCATCCCTTTTTCCTACCGATCAGTCATTCTTTATTTGGGATGGCAGGGCTCCATTCTCAGGGAGGGAGGGAGGGAGAGGGAGAGAGAGAGATTTTTGGGTTCATGCAAGGAAAGCAGCAGAAGTCTTTCTTTCTCTCCTCCAAATTCTGCCAGAAATGAGTCTTTGTGAAACTTGTGTATCAGTGCAGCCTCTTGGAGCAGGATGCCTTGTAGAGTCCCAAAAACTCATTTCTGGCAGAGTTTGGGGGAGAGAAAAAGACTTTTGCTGCTTTCCTTGCATGCAGCCAAAAGCAGAAGAAAAAAGAAGCGGAAAGAAGCAGCCTGGTGGCCAGGCAAGCCACATGGGGCAAGTTCCCCCCCTGTCCTTTCCCTCCTCCTCACTACTTTGTGTTGTTCGCAATGCAAACGATGCAAGCCTTGTGTTCCCACGGGCCATGTGGGTGGCACAGCCTTGTGTTCCTGCACAGCCTGGATTAATTGCTTTGTGGGTGACATTTCTCTGTGGACCATCAAAATTTTCTCACGGACCACCAGTGGTCCCCGGCCCACTGGTTGGCAGCCACTGTACTAAATGACTGCATTATTCATCAAGCAACTGGCAAAAAAAGAACATAAAATTGGGTGTGACTAAAATCACCTTGCTTAGCAACAAAAACTCTGTTCTCATTGTAACTCAAGGTCTTATACTCTTGAGACTAGGATGTGTAAGAGCCTTGCAGTGACTAGTTTCTTACCATGGTGAGGCAGGTTAAAACGACCATAAAGGAACTAAGTAACAATCTTCTGCAAAGCTTGCTAAACGAAGCCTTGACTACCAACTATGCCTACAGTAAAAATAGAAAGTAGATATCTGCTGATTGAGAATGTATCCCACTACCCTTTATGTTGTCTATTAGATTTATCTCTCGGCTCTATTCAGATCAAGAAAAAAACACAATTCATCCCATTTTGGTGATGCTGTGTCCCAGAAGGCCTTTTTGTACACAAAATGTACATCTAAACCTTTTGAAATTATTTTTATTTTACATTTAAGTGTGGTACATAGAATTAGTTTAATTCGTTACAATATAACCAAACTTCCTAATATTTTAGTCACAAATCATAGCACAGAATCATACAATGCTCTGTGGTCATTTTTAAATTAATGTCTCATCATAGACTGCTATGGGTATTAAGGAGTGTAAATTGGCACCACCTTGTACAGACTCAATAAAACTATACTGAACTGCTTATTTAAATAATTTTTCCCATCAGCCTTTCCCTTTTTTCCTTATCAGTTTCTTCATTAAGACTGTTTGACTACATTGTTAAATACAGATTGACACAGAAAAATTACACTAGTCCTTATCTTCCATATCTGATTTAAAAATTGTGTATCCTAAAGGTGCTTTTTTCTAGGGGCAACTGGACTTTCTTGTTTTTTCTTTGAAGACATTTCACTTCTCATCCAAGAAGCTTCTTCAGCTCTGACTGAATGATTGGATATGAAAGGATTTATATTCCTTGCAGACAGCTGAAGAAGCTTCTTGGATGAGAAGTAAAACATCTTCAAAGAAAAAACAGAGTCCATTTGCCTCTGGAAAAAAATACCTTTGGGACAATCATGACCTGGATTCGAGAATCTCCATAGACCTGTAGATTGTGTAGCATCCATTTACAAAATTCAAACATTCGGCAAAAAGTTTTTATAATAGTGAACATAACTAAGCAACATTATGCGCTAGACCAGTGTGTCATAACCTTGACAACTTTAAAACATGTGAATTTCAACTCCCAGAATTCTCTAGCCGGCATATATGAATTCTAGCCAGGATGCTGGCTTTGGAATTCTGGAAATTAAAGTCTTCACATCTTAAAATGGCCGAGGTTGAGAAATATTGCACTAGACCTTAGATTAGTTTTACTGTTAGAATTTGGGAAATTCTGAATAAAAAATTGCTGCAAAAAATGTAATGACTCTAAGATTTGCCTAGGAATAGCACTCAGACTCATATACTGCTTCATAATGCTTCTCTAAGCTGTTTACAGAGTCGGCCTATCGCTCCAGCAATCTGGGTCCTCATTTTACCAACCTCGGAAGGATGTAAGGCTGAATTTTATTTCAGTTTTCCACATTTTAAAAACATCTTTTTTTAGTGAACAGCATGATTCCAGGTTTTCACATTTCCAAACAAACATGACTATAATTACATAATCTTTCACATTTAGTTCCATATCTTAACATTACTTTACATATTTTCTATTATTTTTAAAAGGCCGAGTCAATCTTGAGCCACTCAGAATTGAACTAGTGGAGTGAGCAATGCCTGCAGTACTGCATTCTAACCACTGTGCCACTACAGTTCTAAATTACATTAAAAGCTACTGTAGTAGATGTGGGACTATTGCTTTAAAATTTTTTTTAATGTGATAGCTTATCCCACATTCAACAAAGTTGAAGCCATTAAATGTTTCTGAAAAGAGGAAGAAGCCTGATTTCTCTTGAAAGTCAGTAATAGAATCATATAAGCATCTTATAGTTCTAACCTGAAACTCGTGTTTAAATAAAACTATTCGTTTATAAAGGGATATATCTGTTCTTGTAGATAGGGGGCAGTAGCCCCTCATATTCAAAGAAAAATGGGGGGGGGTGTTGTTGTCATTTACACTGTGTCACAAAATCCAGAATGGAGAAAGAAACTATCTCCATTCTAGATTTTGTGAAACAGCTGGCAGCAAAGTGTAGTTATTAAAAAGCAGGTAAAGAATTGGAGCCAATTTGATATTTACTGATTGCAGCAAAAGAGTCTAGCCTCATCTTTTCTACACTCAATTTGTGTAGTGCAATTTCTTGTTTTATCCCATTCGTGACTCGCTCTGCCCTCCAAAATGCTCAGGTAATTGACTTCTCTACGGAACAAGAGATGGTTGCTGATTTCATGGCTAGAGTAGACAAGTATTTTATAAAGCTGGCACAAAGCCTGTAATATAAAACTCAGGATACTTGCAAAAAATTGTTAGGTGATGGATATTTGAACATAATTCACTAAATCTGCCATGTTGAGTGACAAGATGTAGCAGACTTTGGATGATCTTAGAAAGCTAAGCAGGAAAGACCCTGGTTAGTGTTTGGGTGGAAGACCACTAGGAAATTCGAGAATAGTAAACTCATGTATTGCTCTACTCAATATGATACTTAATCTTCACAAAAATATTAAACATGAGCCCTTGTCTCCCACAGTAGTCTAAACTAGTCTGTCAGCGTTCCAGCAAACCTCCATTCCCATCAGTAACTCTGAGACAAACAT